TCCACATTCCACAACTTCAAAGATGATTTACTTTTAGTCCATATGGCCACACAACTTTAGAAATCAGGCATACATATTATTTTATGGTTGCCAAATTTCGAGATTTTTGGTGTTTCCAGATTTCTCTTCATATACTCACCAAATAGTAAAGGAAGGAACTTACCTCAGATCTCTGTACAGTAAGTAACAGCATTGCAGTGTTATCAATGTGGCTAACAAGTGATCTGGGTTGTCAACACAATTTCAGAACAGCAGCTATCCACTATTCAAGCGGAACACCTTTTTTCCACTTTTCTGTGGAAAAACATATCCCTTGACTCATTTTCCAGTAATATTAACTGCAATTTCAAAGGTACAGTCAGTGTCCTCATGACTATAGAAATTACTAATACCATCTGATCCTAAACTGGCCTTAGCACTGTTTGGGCTGCTGCTTCAAGTAAACATATCTGATATAGTTCTACTTTTAGGTACCTAAGAAATAGTAACAACAAATCGGTACATTGAATGATCATGAACATTTTAATTTTACAAGAGGAAGTATCAATGAGATATTGCATTTAATGCTATAAAATAAAAGAGGTAGAATTATATTTTAATGCAGAATATGCATAAAGTTGTTTCTCAACATACTGTCAGGTAGGTGAGGCAATGTTCTAAAATATGAACTGCCACATACCTTTGATGGTATCAGGAAAAAAAATCATTTGCTGCATGGAATATTGAGAATCCACGGCACCATTTCTGAATACCAGTCATAAAAAGGTATCCTGGCTTCAAAGCAGAATCCTATCACCTGACCTGCAACTGGCTGTGTTTAAGCACCCATTGTTATCATCATCATGAGATTGTGGTTTGCAAGAAATCAATACTTTGTAAAATCAAAGTAGAAGTATTGATTCTTATAGTCAGAAGAATCTTTGAAATTCATAAGCATTAGCTAAAGTTTTGGGGCACCTGTTTCCTCTCCACTCCACATGCATCACAATGCTTTCTCTTCAAGCATCTTTACTGGTAAAAGCAGAGATCCCAGATGACCAGGGCTCCTCTTTATCATGCTATTTTAGTGTTTTCAAGATACAGTGGTGCCTCGTTAGACTATGTTAATCCATTCCATTGAAATCGCTGTCTTGTGAAAACATTGTCTAGCGAAAAGCATTTCCCCATTGGAATGCATTGAAACCCGTTTAATGCCTTCCAATGGGGGGAAATAGTCATCATCCAGCGAAAATCGTCCATAGGGTAGCCATTTTGCAAAGAAATGGCTACAAACAATAATACAGTATCACTCTTAAATTTCATTTGCTAATGTAACATGACAGGAAAGACTGTGGCAGTTTGAAAAATACTGTAGCTTGTGAGTTAATAGTTTAAAGCCTCTAAAAGCCTGGAAGAATAAAATAGTCTTTGTGTGGCACCAAAGCAACAAAGTAGCTGCCAGGTAAGGCCACTTTAGAAGACATTCCCACAGCAAGGTGCCATTGCTAATAGTCCTCCCCAGTTGCCACCTAACTCATTGTAAAGGCAGGGGCACATGGAGAAGATGCTCTGATGAAAATTACAGTGTAGAAGCAGATGGTCCCAATACTACACTACTTACATCCTAAGTAGTGTAGGAGATTATAATTAATCATCAATACTTTCAATTGTGTTCAGAAACATACCGAAAGCCACTGCAACTTTTGAAGTACTGGCAAAATGTCTTCCCTGTGTTCAGTCACAGCAATCTAGCTCTAAATTCTGTTCTGCCCAATACCCCCAATTTTTATTTTTATGTAGAAGCCTAGAGACAATTTAACCATATCCTGCCACAACGTATTTTAAGACATGGAGAGAGGTTGTTTTTTTTCAACATTGGAAATACTGTTGGGTCAGTTCTGTTTTTGAAAAGAACACCTTCACTGGGAAAAGACTAAAACATGTCATGGAGGCAAAATCAGGTCAGGGCAAAAACAAGTGAGGAGGGAAATGACACATGGGAAGGGGTATGCAGTCCCTGGAATATTGGAACCTGCCAAGCCTTGCTTTAGAGGCAGTTTCACATTAGGAAGGGAAAGTATACTAGCTAAATTCCTCGTTTCCATTGAGTCTGGCTGTTTTGACTGGATGGGACATTTTGAGAAGGAATTTTGAACCTTTGTGGGATTCCTCACCTCCAGTCAAGAGCAAAACAAACAGTTCTTTTCCCACATCAAGTTCTGTATAATTTGTGTAAAATGTCTTGTGAGTTTTCCCTTAATAAGCTATGCATACACATAAACGAAGCACAGATGGACTAGATGATTGTTAACAAACATGTTAACAACCAATCTAGTGTTTCAAATTTTAAATACATTAGTAGTTTTGGGAAATTTGTGCAACTGAGAAATTCTGAGAATAATGGGTAATCTTGTGCAGAAGTGGCAAATTTTGCACGAAATGTAGTTCTTACCAACACAAACCCTCCCCCCCCCGCTTTTTTACTCTTTCTTTGTTTTCTATCTCTTGTGGGAAAGTTTACAAAATTAGACTTCCGAAGAACACTGAACATGGTTCATAAATTATTGCATGTGTGAGATACAACCATACACCATTGACTCTTAAAACCAGTATAAAAGTTTTACATGTGAACTCTGTATGTTACTTCATATGTCTGAAGAAGTAGACTTCTACATGAAAGCTCCCATTTAAATAGTCTTTATGGACCCACAAGGTTTTTGTTTTTCTTTTTTTTTCTTTGGGTTTTGCAGAATATTTCTAGATTAATGATTCTGTAACATTGCATTTATGGTAGAGGTAGGCTATCTCTATCTATCTATCTATCTATCTATCTATCTATCTATCTATCTATCTATCTATCTATCTATCTATCATTCATTCATTCATTCATTCATTCTTTCATTCATTCATTCATTCATTCATTCATTCATTCATTCATTCATTCATTCATTCATTCATTCATTCATATCCCATCTTTCTCCTTAAAAAGGACCCAAGGCCTTCATTTGTGCTTCAGACTATAGCACTGATAACTAGGCCTACAGAAATTACAATTTTGACTTTGGAAAGTAACTACCTAGACCAGTGCCATCATAACTTTACTTCCTCCTATACATAACAGGATAATACACTCCTCCATCCAGTGAAAGAAATCAGGAACACTGAATACCATATCTAATGCAAAGAGACACCTACATAATGAATAGACAAAATGGTTTATAAAAAGACAATTTATTTTCAATGGTAAAAAACACATTACACAGCATCATTGCAACTGTCCAACTCTTATCTTCCAAAGCCGTGCTGAACACAATTCTTTAAAAGCTTCCAGAGCTGTGTCTAAAACCTCTTTTCAAAATTAACAAAAAAGGTTTCCTGTTCTTTAAACAAGATACTTTTGAAGAAATACCCGATTCACGTTCCAAGTGTCCTGAATTCCCATAATGTGAGCTGGAAGCATGAAAAGACACCAGTCAGGATTGATGGAAGTCCCCAGAACACTTGACTGTTGATTTGTTGACTGCAACTCTGACAAACACTGCTGAACATCTAACTGAACCCCATGCAACTCTTTCTCTACAGAGACACTAGAGAGAGTTAACACAAAACAAGAGGAACAAATCTCTTCTGGAAACAGAAGTTCTACTATTTCAAAGGGAGAATGACAAAAGAAATTGGCACAATTGGAAGGAGACTGCTGGAATGGTACTACTTCAAGATCGAATTAGGTACAGGGCATTAACCATCATCTCAAACAAAAAAGGAACCTAATAACCAAATGTTTTAAAAGGAGCAACTTTCCTATGATCCAGAAAAAGCAGGCAACAACTTGAGGGACAGGAAACCTTATGTGAAAGGCAAAGAATCTCTGAATTAAAATAACCCTGAGTTTCTTTTCATAGAGAGACAACAGACGTGTGCAACAAGTGCTAAAGTGAAAGTAAAAGTACCTGGGCTCAATTATTCCATAATTATTGCATTTTAATACTTTGAAATGCTACCATAGGAGGATGCAAGACATGCATGAAAGGATAATTTGTGCTTCAGATAGTTGTTTTTCCCACATACACACACACATAGCTTTGTAATTAGAATGTGGAAGAAGCAACTGGAAGTTTTGTTCATAATATGAAACACTGAGACAATCAATTCATTGAGGGATGCTATGTTAGACAATATAAGCCAGCGGGGGTGGTACTCCACAAACACTGCAAAGCCCAAAGGCCAGGTCAGTTGGGTCAGCTAAGTCAAATGCTTGTTTAATAAGCCAAACACATTTGACTAGGGCATGAAAAAGTAACATTTGGTTACTACATTATACAGCTCATTGGTCATGCGAGCTCAGGGATTCTGGATGCTGTAGTTAAAACAACAACAACACTTTCCCAAGCTTTATCTTTCACTATACACAGTTTACAACAAAAGGAGGCTTCTATGCATATATGCATCCATTCAACTTATATTAACAAAAAAATGGCAGAACTAACATTTGCTGTTCAACATTAAGCACAATATAAAATAATGGTTATTTGGGTTTTTTTACTTCCATTATCATTCCTAGTTTGATTCAGGTCATGCATATTTAATATGTAATGTTTTCTGTAGGATGCCCATGTCCTGAATTCTTATTGCTTAGAACTACCAACTATGCTGGATGATGGGAGCTTCCATAGAGACAGCTCTTTGAAACTGGTATATGGGTTACATGGAAGACAGGATCTAGGTCTCTCCTCTACAGCACCAAAGAGCCCCATGATGATAATTTATTACCATTCTTGTGAACGGTCAAAAGATACACTGCAAAGTGCAGCCTTTGGTATTTTAGCATTCACAAAGAAACATTAGAAAAGGGGCATTTTCTCCTACTTGTATCCATCCCACTCCATTGCTCCTTACCCTGAGTTAGTGTTGCATACATTGACCCATGACTGCAATGTCAGAAGTCTAGCTCAGTGGTTCCCAATCTTGTGTAACCCAAGTGTTCTTGGACTGCAATTCCCAGAAGTCTTCACCACCAGCTGTGCTGGCTGGATTTCCTGGGAGTTGCAATCCAAGAATAGCTGGGTTACCTAAGGCTGGGAACCACTAGTCTAGCTGATGAGAAAAACATGCAAGTTCCCTGACATTATGCTATGGATCTTACCATGTGCTTACTGATCAATGCAGGTCTCCACCATGGAGGATCTTATTCCCTCATGTTTCACAACACATTACTAGCTGCAATCAACCAACTGAGAAGTGGTGGGATAAGAAAAATTTCTATCCCAAAGGCAGACCTTCTGCTTACTGGGTTAAATGGCTCTGTGATCTTCATCAGAACATCCAGCAGTCTCCATCCAGTTGCTAGAAGTGAAGTGTTCATTAAAAACAACCCCACAAGCACTCTGAGCAGGATGGGAAATTTAGTGGCACTTTCTGTTGGGATGATGAACACCAAGCAGTGAAGAAATACTAAAAAAATACTCTTACCAACATAACAATAGAGGGTACTATACAAAACACAGTGGAACAGGTGGGGATTGACAAGGGGTTTATATTGCTGCCCAGTTACTCAAAAACCAGTTTTTGGAGTCACTAAATCAGTGTCTTTTTAAAAATAAAGGATTCCAACATTACAACCCAACTTTCAGCTTAAAATGAACTCCAATATCACCAATAAAAAGGAAATTTCTCCAAATCTAGAATGTGGAACACTTTCTTTCTTCTCTAGAGATGTTATCTAGAGGCTTGCTAATTATAAGGAAGATTTATTTTCACAGAGCCTTTCTAAATCCATTTTCCTCTTAAACAATAAGGAAGAATGTATTTTAGGCCCAAGTCTTGACAGTGAGTACAGTTTGCCTGTGGAAGAACCATCTCTAGAAGAAATGCCATTGAAAGAAGGGCTAAATGCTGACAAATATGACATGTGTTCTCAGTGTGAAATACTAGTAGAAAAAGATGCAGCTCTATGTCCAGGACAAGATCAGATTGATTGCTGTCAGGGCATTTTGGTTCAAACAGCCGAGTCTGAGCAACTCAGACCTTCCAAAAAACCCTCCTTTCTTTAAAAAAACTACATATTTATCCACCTCTCATTTTGACTAGTCCATTTCCATAGACATAAGTCGCCGCCGCTCTCGCCTTGTTTCCTGAACTTCTTTCTTGCAACACCAGCGTGAAGTGCAGTAACCTATCAGACAGGATAGGAGTCCAATGATTGTGGCTAGGCCAATGCCAATCAGCAGTGGAAATTTGAAAGCATTCAGCACTGAGAGGAAGAAAATGAAAACGGTCACATGAAATCCACAAAATCAGGACAAATATTCTTTTACCTCATAAAGAAAGGAAATATTTGAAATCTCCTTATGTCCAGATTAGTAAAATACTATTTTCTTTGTTAGTTGTTCACCAGCAGCTTGTGATTGTAGACTGGCAGGAGGGCAGGGGGCTCATTTTGCAGTGGGGTTGTTGTATCTACTGAAAACAATGGCCAGAATCCTGTTGCTTGGGGTAGTAAGCCACAATAAATTAGGCCCACTAAATCAATGGGGATTTGTTGAGGCAAATCCTCCATAAGTTGATTCAATTGGGCCTACTTTAACTGTTACTTACTGCATTGAAAGTACTATTTGAATCAACGTAATTTATGAAGGAGTGGCATCAATATATCACTGTTGAATCAATGATCCTATTCTAGTGTGATTTACTACCCTAAGCAACAGGATTTTGGCCAGTATCTCCTCACTCCGTTTCTTTATTACCTGAATCTGACCAGGACAAAGACAACACTGAGCAAGGGGTTGGATTTGATGGCTTTATAGGCCCCTTTCAACTCCATTGTTCTATGACTCTATGATAACAGTAGGATCGTTAATGGAGGTGACACTTCAGTTTTGAAAGACTCAAAATGCTGTATTTGTCATCCACTGCTATCTTTTGTGGCTGAAAATCCTGACCAAATCTTAAGGTAAAAATTAAAACACAGGTTTGCCAGCTGAGAGCTTGTCTGGAGTTCATATTTCAGATTACATTTCATTCTGTATTTAATAGCAAATAAATAGCTAAATTGTCATGAAGACCAAACATCAAACTACAACTAATGAAAGCCAGAAGAACATAGTGGCCAAAACAAGAATGCCTCTGTAGAATAGAAAGCACACTACTCTGCATTATTGAACAGCAGTATAGTGTAGGCTGTTTAGGAAACAGAAATGATATTTATTGCCATTTCAGAGAACTAGATTAAATATATTCCTAGCATGGAGCAACTAGCAGTATAAAACTCCAAACTGCATATTACACGAGCACATTCTCCTATTCTTGTAGTTCTGGTGCTACAAGAATAAGAAACTGATGAGCCTATCAGTAAACTGATAGGGGAAGAAAAAGTGTATGTGAAAAGATCAAATAAGTAGCTTGGTACCTCAGTTTGGAAGTAGGTTTTTTTGGAGTACAGTTCTCAAAATCTTTCAGCTAATATAGAGCCTGATAGTTGTATTTCAAAACACTAGCTTTGAAGCTTTAATTAGTCCATAATGAAAACTAAATAAGATCATTGAGGCATTCTTACCATCCATTTTCACTGTTACAAGGATTGGCTTGGATTTTATCTCCATTTGTCGTTGCCAGACGGATGCAGCTGACTGCACCCAGGGTGTTACCAAGCAGTAGTGGTTTCCAAAGTCTTGGTCTTCACAGCCATGAATTCGAAGCCGGAATTCCAAAGGAGTGATTCTCTCCAAGCTGACATCACTGCTCCCGTTTCTTCTAGCTTGGGTCACTATACCTTTCCGATCCAATGAAGCTAAGAAAACAGGGTCTCTATCCATTGCAACAGAACGTGTAGCAAACCAGGAGACATCAAATGACATGTCATCTGAAATTGAAAAGAGAAACCAACTCAAAATAATGTTTGGCACCACTTCAAATTCTGGTCAGACTCAGATGTCTCTTCCCCAAGGAGACACAAAGAAATTCCAAAGAGTTGCAAATTAAGAGTTGATTTTTTTTTTTTTTAAAGGGAGTTTGATGATGGTAAAGGAGTGGTGGGGAGGCATGAGACAGTCTCAAAAACAAAAAAAGGGAACATGATACTGAAAAGTTTGGGAAGCACTGGCTTACAATTACAGTAGTTCTTAAGCAATGCTAGGAGAGTACAGAGATTATTCTTGCCCTCCACAGAACTAGGTTTACTGAACTGTACAGGCTTAGCCGCTTTCAACAACTCCTGGCCTCCAATTTGCTAGGATCCTCTAAATATCCTCGATTCTAAAGCTTGTCAAGTACAGAAAAAAGGATTAAGATGATTAGTGTAAGAAGCTCCATCAGCAGCAGTGTTTCCAGGCACTGTTACTTACTCGTTCTTTTACAGACTGCAAGCAAGAAAACTCAAAAGGCAGCCACTGAACCCTTACTAATCTCTCGTTATGACATATTTTACATCAACTATACTTGCTGAGCTGTCAAAAAAACATGTCCTAAAAACTTCTCTGATACCATCACAACCCTTCCCTTTTTTCTGTCCCCATCTTCTTTGCTTAAACAGTAGGGTACTGGTAGAATGCATAATGCTGTTCTTCCCATCTTGTATACCTGGTTGCTACCATTTCAAAGCCCCAGCACATTAACTGCACTCTGTGGCCTCAGCATTCACTCTCTCTCTCATACATGTAACTTGATCAAACCACGCAACACAGCTATGCTCCTCTAACATAAACATGTGCTGTACTCCTATTTCTAGTACAACAACTTCCCATTCTCTTTTATAATTTCCCCCCAACAAAACCACTCAAAACGTATCTTAACAACATTGTTAGTAATGAAAGAGTACTTACTGGCTTATAGGAGACAGAACCCCAAAAAATCTCAAAACAAAATAGCAGTTACTGAGTGCATATTTGTACTGAGAGAAGGGCAATAGCAGCAGTTGTTTCATATATGTAGATCAGAAATCTATTCAAAATATCCTGAACTGAAGACTAGAACCTGACAAAAATTAACATATGTACAGTGCTTCCAGAGTTCAAAAGCATGTATTACCTAACTATAATCCTTTCAATGACTCTCTAAGGTCAACAGATGTTGTTGTCCACCATAAGGAAGATGGAGAGGGATGCAGACTGTGGCTCTGCCTAAGCCCACCTATAGATTTCATGAAATTTGAATTGGGAGCTTTTCTGATTCAGTGCCCAGACTCTTCACTACTACTATGCTACACCAGCTATGATTTATTTCCCCTCCTGTGGCTGCAGAGGAAAAGAAAAGGAACAGAATGCAGTATTGTGTGTTAACACTGTACAGTGGAGTCTCGACTTAAGTACAGCTCCACTTACGTACTTTTTGATGTACGTACTTCTCCAGCCGCAAAGTTTCACTTCAACTTGCAGCTGGAGAATCCACCTATGGACCAGAAAAGGGAGGGGGAAAGCGGCAAATTAAAATTTGGCGCTTTCCCTGACTCCCCCTTCCAGTGTGTAGGCCTCCGATATGCCTCCAGATATGGAGGCATATCGGAGGCCTCCAGATGCTTTCCAGGGCTTCTCCGCCGCCATGGGAGGCCTCTTGGAGGTCCTCCCCCACTGCCAATAGTGCCTCTGAAGCACGATCGGTGGCAGGCGGGGACCTCCAAAAGGCCTCCCATGGTGGCAGAGAAGCCCTGGAA